CAAAATCTGATGGGTTTAATTGTTTTGTTAAATTTCACACTTATGTTGAGCGTCAATTTGCTTGTAAACTCAAGGCTTTTAGATCTGATGGTGGAGGTGAATTTACCTCTCATTTTTTTTATAGAATATTTGAGTCAGCAAGGAATTCATCATTAATATTCATGTCTGTACACTCCAGCACAAAATGGTGTTACTGAGCGCAAAGCACCGTCACATTGTTGAGAGTAGTCTTTCCATGCTATATGCAAGTGGTCCACCTCAATTCCCTTGGCCAGAAGCCTTTTCCATTTGTAAATCTCATTAATAGATTGTCAAGCTCTACATTGTCCTTCATATCTCCCTTCCAAAAGCTCTTTTGTTGTAAACCAGATTACTCTTTTCTCTGGGTATTTGGTTGTGTATGCTTCTCACACATTTATTCTTCTCAAAGAAATAAATTTTCTCCTATGGCTTATGAGTATGGGTTTATTGGATAAAGCTCTTAACATAAAAGGTACCGGTATTATGACAAAGTGTCAAGACACTTTTTCGTTACAAGACATGTAACATTTGATGAAACTAGGTTCTATTTTAAGAAAGCAGTGTTCCCAAACTAACACAAATAGCATGTCAAATAATGTGTTTGTCCCTATTTCAAGGCTTTTTCAATTGCATGAAAAAGTACACTCACAAGCTCCTATCTCCTCTGACGTTACAGATGAATCATCTCAGTAGCATCACCCTCATCGGTCATTGCCTCACTTTGACATGTCTGATCAACAACCTATTTCATCTGCAGATGTTGCACCACTTTCTTTTCCCTCTCCTACTTCAAACTTAGATGTACCTCCCATAGTGCAACATGATTTATCTGAAGGTTAGCAGTTTCACCTATACCACCACGTCGTTCCTCTCACTCCACACAACCTCCTGGACATCTGTCAGACTACCAGACTTACTCTGCAATCGTTTTTTCTCCTGAAATCACCTCTAAGACTTTAAGAACAAAATACCCCATTAAAAGTTATACCTCGGGAGAGATTGTCTTCCGATCATCAAGCATTTGCAAAACAAAATTTTCAAATTCGAGAAGCAACCACCTATGAAGAAGTTGTCTTTGACACGGGGTGGTTGGCTTCAATGAAAGAAGATATTCACGCACTTAAAAGGAATCACACTTGGGAATTAGTCACATTGCCTCGAGGCAAAAATGTATTGGGCTCAAAATGGGGGTACAAAGATAAGGTCAGATCAGATGGCTCAGTTGAAAGTTAAGGTCAGATCAGATTAGGTAACAATTCCCAAGATGGATCGAATAGTAGGTGCCTTCACAACTGGACTGAAAATTTCATCATAATCAATGTCATATTCTTGAACAAGGAGAATTGTTACCTAATCCTTCCTTGTACATAAATGTAGTTGGTGATCTTCAATATCCCACATTTACACGTCTTGACTTTGCTTATGTAGTAAATACAGTATGTCAGTTCATGTAGGCTCCTCGACAACCTCATTGGGAAGCCACAAAAATGATTTTGAGGCATTTAAAGGGTTCAATACATGATGGCTTATTCTATACTTCATCCAGTTCACCTGACCTCAAAGCATACTCTGATGCTGATTGAGCTAGGTGCCCTAATGATCGTAGGTCCATTATAAGATTTTGTATCTTCTTAGGAAGCAATTTGATTTCCTGGAGTAGCAAAAAGCAAGCCTCAATATCTAAATCCAGTACAGAATCAGAATATAGAGCAATGAGTATTGTCGCGGTAGAAATTACTTGGCTACGTATTCTCCTTAAAGAAATTGGTGTTTTCATAATTAAACCAACCATTCTAGCTTGTGATAATCAAAGTGTCATACGTCTAGCCACCAATCTTATCTTCCATGCTCGTATTAAACACATAAAAGTTGATTATCACTTTATTAGAGAAAATGTTGTATCAGGTGCTATTTCCTTGACCTTTGTTCCTTCGTCCTATCAACTGGCAGACATGTTCACTGAAGCACTAACTAGATCAAGATACCATGAGTCCACAGACAAGGTCTCGATGCACAAGATACATCCTCGGCTTGAGGGGGGGTGTTAAGGATGAGATTGTCATTTACTGTCTTTCCTAACATTGTATAGGGTATTTGTTCATTCTTTACCCTCAAGGGTATTTTTATCTACTGTACATATATATACTAATAATTAAAACTAATTGTGTATATATTGAATCATGGAGGTGCTCTCTTTTTCTCTCTAGGGTTTTGGTAATTTGACAATATGTGTAACATATGTATGTATGTCTATAGATCGTTTTAAAGTTCATTCCAGCCAAATCTCCAACAAAAGAAATGAAAAAAAAATAACAACAGTAAGTTACCATTTACCATTTTTTCAGGAATATGGGATATTTATGCCTTTCCTCCCAAGATTTATTCTGTAGAATCACTTGCTAATATGAAATCAGCTTTAACATTTTTCTTTTTTAAACCATATGAAATATTCATGCATTTCCTTGCAAGATATATAACAGTTGCTTGTTTACAAAAGACCCATTTTACCATTTTGCTCTCTCTTAAACATGGAATATTCACTCCCTTCCTCTCAAGATTTATAGCACAGAATTACTCGTCTTTATGCACATCTCATCTTCTATTTATGTGTCTACTAATTCTTTGCTTCTCATTCATCATCTCATTTCTGGTTGCGGTTACATAACTTCTCGTCTCTCACTCCTCCTTGACCTATCTTAGAATGAACCCTACAGCACGCTCTGACCTCATATCAAGTAAACTCCACCTCAGCCACTATACAATGAGCAAACCATATGTGACACGCCTCCTTAAAAGACTAGTCACAAGCGCCCTAGGACCCACCACCGAATATATGAAGGTTGCTTCACAAGGAGCCGAGGTGCACCAAAGGTCCACCGAATAGTTCGAGCTAAGACGAGATCTGCTAACGAGTAGCTCATTTAGTACTGCCCTAGGGTTTTGGAAGGTTTGACGAGCTGAGGTTTGGGATGAAAAGGTTTTCTCAAGTGACCCAAACCACCCCAACTCTAATGTGGCTGCCATGAGTTGGGCCGTGGGCAATGAGGCATCAGCAATGAGGCATCAACGATAGAGAGATACACGAGCATAACGGGTCGTGAAGTGACCCAATTGGGCTTCAAACCCACCCTAATGAGGCCCAATTAGTTTGGCTTGGTGCCTCACCTGCTGGCCTCATAAGTGGGCCTGGTGATGAGCTCGTATGTGGGCTTAGTGAAGGAATACTTGCGGTGAAGTGCCACTTTAACAAGGGAAGACCTGAGTTGGGTCTACCTTGGCCTTCAATTCCTTACTATACATGCCCCAGTTGTAGGGTTTGAAGGAGATTTTAGAGAGAGACTGGGTGGACCTCTATTGTTGGACCCCTAATGGGAGTACATTGTTCAGGGTGGTGACAGACAGGGAGTATTGGGATTTGATTTATGGGATTTTGAAAGAGTTTTGGTTGGAACATGTGATGCCAGCTAGAGAGGCATTGTTGGCCTCTGATGATGAGGTAGCGGCGCGTCGATATATGCCTTTGGCTAAGCATGTGCGCACTAACAATGTTATTGCTCAAAGCCGACTTTTGGCTGCTGAGGGTCGATTATTATGTAAGGACATTGGTGGTCAAGTCAAGTTCTTTAGGTAGAAAACAGTAATGGGGAAGGAGAGAGATGGGGGAGGGAGAAGATCATCTCAATTCAAAATATGAAGAGATAGAGAGAGGGGGGAGGGAGATCATCCTAAATCGATCTAAAGTACAGAGAAAAAATGATTTCAGTCTATTTGCTGGTTTTATGTTCTTATTTCATGATGAAAGTGGGGGATTATGAATGCATTGATCTTTCAAGATTGGTTCTGATTGTTTTTGCTCAAAGGCATTTTGGGCAAAGTTGCATTCTTTGTACTTTTAACCTATCAAAGAGGGGAAATTAATGTATGTTATGTATTCAATGTTTATCATGAAGATCATTGTGCTTACTATTCTGTATTATTGTGCTCAAAGAGAGAGAGAGAGAGAGATTGGCTGTCTGTTTTGGTAGCTGGCAACCAAGTTTATGAAGAGAGAGCGAGAGATTGGCTGTCTGTTCTGGTAGCTTGCAACCAAGTTTATGAATAAAGAAAACTGTTTTGAATTTTTTCTGAAATTCTTTTATTTTTTGACCAAGATCCAAGATATCCTTAAAAATTAAAAAGAGATTACATCATTAAAAACAATAAGAGAAGGGAGAGAAAGGCCACCTTTAGCCAACGAATCTGAACTCTTTTCTTAAGCCCAAAGATATTCTAAATCCTCAAAAGTAGAATTTCTATTTACTCCCTTGGATGAAATCCCACCTACGATTAATTTAGGACTCTAAATTTTGGGCCAAAATCTCTTCGACCCATATCTTAACCTCAACAAAAGAAACTTTCTAAGTTATACTCTCTATGCACTTGATAAAAAGGAAACGGTTTGATAGGGTTGCAGTCAAAATAAGTGAAGCCGCACCTTGTAACTCATCGAAAATATCAATTCAATCATTGAAAAACCTTTAAACGGATCATCTTGGCTTGACCATTTTGCTTGTGAAAATAAAATAAAATTTTAAGCTCTAAAAATAATGTATATTATTACAAATTATTTAGACTGTCCAATTTGCCTTAAAAATTAATTTTCATAGATTCACGAGATCTATACTATTTATTGACTTTCAAATTTTATTTTTGGTGTTAGAAATTGATTTTAGAACCATTATAGATATTTTCACCATCGGAAGTGCTTTGCAGAGAGGATATGAGATGAGGTTGTATTTTTAAAAAAACTTCAACTAATTTTAAATTTTTTTTAAGAATAATCCTTGAATAATCATCGAGAAATTTTTGAAGTTATTCTTGGAAATTTTTTAATGAGAAAAAGTCCCCGAATTCTCGTGATCGACGGAGTAGAAGTAAAGTATGTTCCCGAGGGAGCATAGTATACACGTTCTTTTCCGTCTAAAACGCTCTCTCTTTAGATCCAATCTAAATCGAGAGCCTCTCTCCTAACGCTGAAGACTTCTGCCCCAGAGAATCGAACCGAATCGAGAGCTTCAAAACCTGAGAGAATCGGTTCGGAGATCCAAGCGCCATTTTACAACCAAGAATCGAAGGCCTCGTCCAATCGAGGGTTTTGAAGCATAGCGAAGATCCAGTGGCGGATCAAGAAATTCGTCTAAAAGGTACGTCGATTTTTCCTTTTTTTTTTTGGTGAACGAACACACTCTAATAAATGAACCCATTTCAGTAGATGAGTAAGAAATTTCTGAATTTAGTGATTTGCAGTAAATCAATGGAAAACAAAGAAATTTCTCTCAAATTTCAGAAAATCCAAAGACAGTTCATGATTTTGCAGTCCCCATAAAAACGAGGTTATAGATATCTACCGCAATGGGTTTGTTGAATGAAACTTCAGGGTTTCATGAATTACGACTTTTGACTTCAGAGGCTTTTTTTTAATGAACCCATTTCAGTAAATCAGTAAGGATTTTTTTGTTTACAGTAAATTCCAAAAAGAGAGATTGCGGTGCTATTTCCATAAATCCAGAGTGACATTTTGTTATTTATGGTCCCAAAACAATTGTTGTGATTTACTGAATTGGGTTTTGAATGAACTCCATCCAGGAAATGAACCTACTGGGTTTCAGTTATTAGCAATATTGTTTCAGTTATTAGCAATATTCTGAAGTTGGTGATTTGCTGAAATTATGGTTTCTCGTGGTATGGTGTCTTCATTTTTCCTTTACATAGCAAAAAAAATGAAGCTTTGGTTGATTTACTGAAATTTAAGAAATTTTGGGATCTATTGGCTTTATGTGGCAATGATCTCATTTTGGGATTCATTACCACAGATGCATACATGCATGGAAAAAATTGACAACAATGCTTGTTGGAAACAATGTTTCAGTTGTTTGATTCTCATTAGGACATTTGCAAATATAAATCTGCTCTTCAATTGAGATCTTAGAGGCTGAGTTAGGTCTCTCTCTGTGTTCAATTCACTTTTGGTCTATGATGCTAATAAAAATTAGGAAAAATTCATAATTGTAATTTTATGTTTTTTGAATTTATCTTTAGGAATTAAAAATGGGTAACGTGAGTTTTTAGGAAAGATAAATCTTGGTGTGAGTTAGGCTTTTTTTTAAGCTTATCGTATATTAAAATGGCTTCAAATATTTAATAAGATTTAGTGAGAGATTTAAAGGGTATTTAAATTTGAGAAAGATAGAGGGATTTTGATATGGGGAAGATCAACCATGATAAAGATTGAAAAATGTGGTGCGTGACTTTAGATAGAGATGAAATTTTAGTTGAGAGAGAAGTAGGGAGGAGAGAGATCTAGATGGTACGTGAGAGGGAAAGAGATTATATTTTTATGATATTTTCATTGAGAGAGAAAATAGGGTGAGGGATGTAGATGGTACCCTCTCCCTTCATTCTAAAAGATTAGAGATCGAGAATTGAGTAAATTGATATTGAGAAAAGATCGTTGTGAGGGGTATTATAAAAGGTCTTAGAATGTGAATTGAATAAATTGATATTGAGAAAAGATCGTTTTGGGGTGGACTCCTTCTCAGAGTACCTCTCAGACCTCTGTACGAGGGTTTATTATCTCAACCATTTTTTATTTTTATTTTATTATTATAGTTGCTTTTTCTCCCTGCATGAATCTTTCAGTTAGTCAAATCAGATCTTAAATGCATTCTCTATTTTTTTGATTTTTAACCTAATTTTGTGAACTAATCTTTCGAGTATGGATTTTTTTTTTTTTTGAATTTGGTGCCTTTTCAGGATGTAGCTCCATTCTTTTGATCTTTTTATTTGATGAATGATGAATCTGGTCAGTTTGTGTTGGTTTGCTTATTGGGTATGTTTGTTGTGCTTCCAATCTGAGTGAAATTTTGAGCGTTTCAATTGTTGAAACCCTAATATGACGCATTTGGTAGAGAACCTTTATCAAAGAAGTCTTTTCATTCAATCTAAATGTTTGGATTTAGCAGATTTAGGTTTAGAATCAGTTTCATATATGCAATTTTTTCTGAATTCTCTATCTTAGTTGTTAGTTTTAGCTCAACTCTTTGTTTTCTATCAGTTAGTTGCTACTCATTTGGAAATTATTTCTTTTTTTTCCCTGCTCTATTGATAGTTTAGATCTGTCATTTAAATATGTTGTTGAATGCTTCGTGGGAAAATTTGTTATTCTCTTTTGGTTGCCGTAATAGATCGATAAGTTTTTCATATTATTTACTGTAAGAAGTTCTGATTTCCTAGGTTTATTTATTGTTTCCTGTAATTATTATTAGTATATTTGGTGTATGTGTTGATGGTGAATATGTACTTCTGATATGATCATATGAGGTCCTCGTTTGATATTTTAGTTTCAATATATCTGATACGATCATGCTAGGCTGTGAAGGCATGTTGTAGTTCATCACCCTCCTTGTGATGATTTGCAATCTGGAGAAAATTCTTCAGACAAACCTGCTATTTGTGGTAACTTATATTATGTGCTGGAGAAATCTTTATTAAAACTTCCTACATAGTCATGCTATCATGTTAGAGTGGTACTAATCATAATGGAATTCTTTTAATGCTTTTTGAGTTTTTGATAATCTTGAGGGTAGTAAACTATGAATTATGTATTTTTTTTTTATGTAGTTGCGATTTTGTAAGTTATTAGAGGAGTAGGTTTGTTTTTTTGGAGTTCTGAGCCACCATAGTTTTTGTTGCTCCCTGTGCTATATTTGACTTTTGTTTCCTTGTTTAATAAGAATTAATTGCTTATCAAAAAAATGAGTGCACTGGTTGCAACATGAAATTGCTGTTGAAGGATTGATTGGTATGTCCTTTTTAAGTAAATTGCTCTTTTGCAAAACTGTGGATGAAATTATAAACTTGTGGATCGATAAAAAAATGGGTCCTTAAGAATTGGCACCGTAACGTCTGTCAATGGGGAGGCTAGTCAATAGAATGATATCTCTCATCCCTGGAATTCTCCTTGACAGCATCTGTAAATTTTTTTTTTTATCTTTACATTTTGTGCTCAGGCTTCCCCTTTCCAGTGTCAATGTGAGCCACATGAAAGAAAAATCATCAAAGGATGATGAATTGCTTTTTATTTTTTGTTGGTTAGGATAGCTTTTGCCCATAGCGTTACAATGTCTCCCTTTTCTCTGAGTCAAATATATGATATATAAAACATTCTGACCTTTTGACACCCACACACAGACACTCTCTCATAAGTTGTTACTTATATACAATGGTGTTTCCTTGTAGAAATCGGTTGGATCTCATATGTTCATGACAAACTCAAGTTCCTTGTGCTCTCAGGTGATTCTGAACTAGTTCTGTTACAGTTGAACTCTTTGTAACTGCGGACACATCCAGTGGGTCTCTGGGAAATCTTCAAAATGGTGATCAGATATTATTCGTCTCTGCTTTCCTTTCTTTTCTCTTTCAAGAGTTTGAGCGTGGATGGTTATTGTCCACTATTACGATGGGGCTCTTTCAAGCTTATTAGTGGGGACTTCTTTGCCCATTTCAATGGCGTATAAAGTCCATTATACCAATAATTATTTGATGTTTCATTTGTTATTGTCTATAGGTGGTTCTTGCAGCTTCCGTTATAACTAAAACAGGCAAAGGTGAGAGTTTTGTGACCATGATCACTAATGATAAACCACACTCCCTTGTAACATTTTCAAATTCTCATTAATACTTGCATTTTATTCATTATTAACTGGGTAAGTCTGCTCTGCTTTGGGGTTTATAAAGGCCCATTCATCTATTTTTTCAAAAGAAAAAGAGCCATTGTTCTCTCACTACAGCTTTGGGGCTTTTCCAGACCTTGCTTTGTATACTACTAATTTGCTACAATATGCTGAAACGAAGAGAGATCAAACCTTGCTTTTGTCGATCCCATTAGCCTTTTGCTTCATCCTATCCTTGGTATCATTGATGCCTGAACATTTTGAAAAAGCAAGGTTTGGAAAAAGTCTCAAACCTTCATACTATCCTTGGTATCATTGACCTCAAAGGTTGCTTTTGTCCATCTCGCTAGCCTTCTGCTTCATCCTATTCTTTTTGACATTTTCTTCTGTTCAATGTTCTATAGTTTTGTTGTCATTCTTTTGATTTAATTGTCCTTTTGTTGGCAGCCTTGGTTTCAAGGCAGTTTGTGGACATGACTCGCATCAGAATAGAGGGACTACTCGCAGCGTTCCCCAAGTTGGTTGGCATAGAGAAGCAACACACGTATGTAGAGACGGAGAATGTCCGCTATGTTTATCAACCCATTGAGTCTTTATATTTGCTTCTAGTGACAAACAAGCAGAGTAATATTCTTGAAGATCTTGAAACCTTGAGGCTTTTGTCAAAATTGGTACTTTGTTATCCTTCTCTTCTTCACTTTTCAAGTTTATGGCTAATTACTTTTCTGGCTACTAATGTTTATTCCCATGAATCTATCACTTTAAGGTACCTGAGTATTCTCCTGCTTTGGATGAAGAGGGAATTTGCAATATGGCATTTGAGCTGATTTTTGCCTTTGACGAAGTCATATGCCTTGGACACAAAGAGAATTTAACTGTTCCACTGGTCAAGAAATACTGTGAAATGGACAGTCATGAAGAGAAGTTACATCTTCTGGTTAGGCAGAGCAAAATCAATGATACCAAGGATAGGATGAAGCAAAAGGCTAGTGAGATCGACAAAAGCAAGGTTTGATTTTTCTCTTCTTTTCGGCATATTGTCATATATTAGTAGTAGTATACAAAACATCATAGGCCCTGACCCAAGGGTATGTATCTGGTAGTTTGCCTTATATGTCCACGTTAGTGTTCTTAAGGTGAGACTGATCACTGATGGTGAGAGCACTGGTCCGATCGGACAAAACTGGTTCATTGGTCAGACTGGTCAAAGAATTTAAAAAAAGGAAAAATGCACAAAAAAAAAAAGACAAATAGAGAAAAATATAAAAATCCCTGAAAATATTAAAAATAGTAAAACTTAAAAAACATTGTGAGCAAATCTGAACTTATAACACACCATATGCACATATTTCACATCTCATGATACCCATCATCAACCCATCAAGCAAACCAAAGAAAGATTATGACATAAATGTTGAACTATTGAAGGAAAAAGGTCATAAGTCATATTGGAACATCTTTCATGATTTCATCTATCAAATATCAGCACTTTCCTGACTTACGACAATTGCCATACTACCACAGTAACATTTAAGCATTAATGGACAAAACATGCATTAAAAAGATATATTTCATTTAAAAAATAGAGTAAACCTAAAATAAAGAAACTAATGCAAAAGACTGAAAATAAGCATCTATCAAGTATGAACGTTTTCCATAGTTTCATATATAAGTGTTAAAGATAATGAAAAAGGATGGTGAAAATTAAATACCGAGGAAAAATCTAATATATATTTGAAGAATGCATATAATCTTCCAAAAAGCAAAAACATAAACAATAAACCTAATATTGAGAACAACCTTTAAATGAAACACAAGAAACAATCTATTGCATTGATTTGAAAAAATTATTTTTGGCAAAAGTCCTAAAAATCCAACTTTTTCCATTTTTAAATATAAAAAGAAAATAGTGCAATAGACCTAATTGGGGCTGCAAATCAGATGCATTGATGGCTGGAATCCTCTCCTGCAGTGGCCGAAAATTTGCCAAATGCTTGTGGTGTTCTTTGGGTAGAGAGATAGAGAGCCAAAATCACCAAAAAGACCTTTGTCTTTCTAAAAAGTGGTTTTTAAAATCCCAAAATCCACTCATGTATTTGAAAGACCAAAACACCCCTACCTCAATTTAAATAATAAAAAAAACCCAAAAAAAATGAAAAAAGACCTGAAAATTGAAAGCGCAGTAGGTTTTTTCGTCCTTTTTTTGACCTTATTGGGACTGGTCTTTTCCGCCGTTCTAGTCAATGGACCCGCTGGATCGCCGGTTCTTGACCAGTTCTATGGCCATTCTAGTCCAGGGGGGTTATACTCACTAGAATAATTCGCTGGTTTCCTGTCTAGTTTTAAAAAGATCTTCTTGCCCTTGGTTGAGTAATTAATCTAGCAAGTGTACGTGGCCAAGTTTTAGGGTGTATGTGGATTCTACATCAAACTATGGTTTGGTGCATCTTGGGAATCAATCTGTTTGTAAATGATGAAGTCAAGTAGTTTGCTTGTGGCACGTGATACCACATGAATTGATGGTCCATTTGCAAAAGATATCCAAAACTTTCCTCAACTGAACTCACTCAAATCGTCAGTGCTCCAAGACTCCACACTGCCCACAAACCTCAACATGAACCCACAAAATCTCTTTCCCTCTCTCTCTTTCTGTACAATCGACCAAACCCACTTGTCAAAACTCTCTCTCTTTCTCTCTCACCCTCTCTCTCCATCGATGAACTCCCTGCCTAAAATAATCCTAAAACCTCTTACTGGCATTCTTTGCCACCTATAAAAATCATCGTCAGCATCACCATCAGAGCCTTTTTTCAATTATTTGGAGTCGGCTACATGAATCTAGGTCATCCATTCTGTTTTATAAGGGGCCATACCCTCAGTGAGGCCTTAAGTCTTCATATCTTTTTTCACTATTTCCAACTATGTCCTTTTGGGCCACCTGTAAAAATGAATTCCCCATTTTACTAGCCATTGTCTGCTACTCTCAGCTGCAATTGGGCAATCCATTGCCGGGTTTCTCAAATTGTGATGAAATTTCTGATGTTTTACTCGGGCCTGTAAAAAGACTAGAACCAAAGGTTTGAGACTGAGAATGAAGAAAAAAGCTTAGAGAATTAGTGAAATACACTTTGATGGAGGAGAGAGGGGCAAAGACGCCCTTCCCCCCCCCCCCCCTTGAGAAACCAGTTCGCTTAACCACCATCTCTAACTTTGCTCGTGGAACCATGATCGGAACCATAATCTCCAATTGGTGAATCACTGTAACCTCCACTAATTTAACACAAAACACCACCAAGATCTTCACTGATGGCTTCCAAGTCATTCACCCTGATCTTTTCAATATAGGCATAGCTTTAGGTTATTTGCAATGTAACACTTAGATCAGTTCATCCCTCAACCTCTTTATTGTTTCTAATAAAATCTCCCACTAGAAGACTATTAGAGAAGATTCACTGCTATTGGAAAATTCTGAGAATATGTTGCCATATAGCTTTTAGGTAACTTGCAATATAACACTCCAAATCAATTCACCTTGTATTTGTGAAGATCTGCCTGTATTGGAAAACTATGAGGATACATACCAACTTATCATATAGCTTTAGCTAGTTTTGAAAAGAACAATAATTGCTTCACGTCTTATCTGCTTTACAGTTCAAAAAGTGGTCATTGGGAATTCCTCTGTGGACCATGGAAAACCATAGTCCAATGGAGTGGTCGCCATCCAAGAAATGATTGCCAGTGATGGAAAAAGAATGGGACCCACCAGAACATGATCTGAGCCCAATGATGGGGCCCACTCAGTCTCCATTGTCATTCATCATTTGATTGGCTGGCGATGTACACATTGGACTATGGTGTGGTAAAGTCAATGCATTGTAGTGTAATGGGCTGAAAGAGTTCACCCTGCAATGTCGTTTCTAAGCATATAACCATGCAAATGTCGCAATGTGTCTGTGTCTGTGTGTGTGTGCTTGTGTGTGTGTGTGTGTCTATGTGTCTGTGTGTGCGTGCGTGTTTGTGTGTTTGGACCTTACTGGCCTGACCTCTTGTCACCTTGCTTTGGACTTTGAGCCATCCAACTTGTGGCGTTTGAGGTTAGATCTTGAATTGCTTCTTCCTTCTTTTACCGAATGGGTTACTTTAGATTTTGCTTTATTTTCTTCCATGATTGGTCAAGGGAATAGAACTATATATCCAAGTGAACTGTTGTAGGCCTTCGGTGCAAAATGGACTATTGAACACAAATGCCTCATCCACTGGCCTTCTGTACAAAATGCGCTATTGAACACAAATGCCTCATTCACTAATCAGCAATCCTTATTTCTGAAACCATTTCAGTCCCTATTTTGGCAAGGGTCTTGTGCATCCTTGAAGAAGAGAGCCCATTTGAAGAGATTGCACAATGACAATGTTTGGTGCAGCCAAATATCTGACTGAGTTCTCATGGAAAATCCACCTTCCAAATATGGGTGTTCTAGACAATACTTGGTTTTTCTGAGTATTTGAATATCATAAGCATTATATGATCAATTTTCTTCTATAGATTTAGAGTTATCTAGTTATATCCCTGTGTTTTCCCTTGATTTTCTTTTTTGGCAGATCGATAAATCTAGAGGAGATAAAGGAGGGTTCATGTCATCTGGGCTCGGAAGACTTGACGATGGCTTCAGCAAAATGGGTATTTCTGGTGGTGGAGGGGGTTTTGGCAGTGGTTCCGTTCATGGATTGGGTGCAGACTTGGAATACCCTAAACCAAAAGGTTTCTACTCATGATTTATGCTCTTTATCACTTAGTTGCAAAGTAGCAGTATCTATTTTAGAAGATTTGCAACAGTTTGAATTTTTTTCGAATTTGTAATATCTGTGAACCATTTCCTAATTTTTTGAAGCTTGGATAAGTTCATCCTTAGTGATTGATTTTGACATCTCTTTGAAGTTGAATCAATAAATAACCATGTCCCTCCCCCCCCCCGCCCCCCACTTTCTCTCTCTCAGCCAAATGGCCTACAGCGACAAGTAATTTGAAAGGCAAAACCACTTAGGTAGGGGCATTGTTAATGATACCACCTGAAATTTTATCAAAGCAGTAAAAACAGCAAAGAAAAAAAAAGGAAAAAGAAACTGATTTGAGCTATTGTTCATCAAATGGATGCTCGAGAACCATCCTTGGAGTGAGAATGGAGGTAGAGCATTTTCTGAGCTTCAAATCATTGTTTCTTAGGTTGATCTCGGCGATTGATCGATGCTATCAATGAAGATGTGTTGAGAATTTTTGGGGTAAAAAAAATCCCCCTGGCCCTTTGGTGTATAAATACACTGTAGTCCCTTGATCCATAGAATGTTATTCCCGAGTGTGTGTGTGCCTTTGTACTTTTGTGTTTGTGTGCTATCATTATGTGATTTACTTGGTTGCTATTTAGAGTTTTACTTCCCGTAGAAGTCCTAGTTTATTTGCATGGCTATTAGATGTGCCTTTTTGTTGCATAAGCCTCTTTATGATGAGCAGTATATAGCTGACCCCACTATGTGGCAAACATATCTAATTTGACAAACACTTCTTCAGGCCCCTCATCGGCAGATGCCCCTGCACAAGCTCCTGCAAAGGGTCTAGGGATGCAGCTAGGGAAGACTCAGAGGACAAACCGATTCCTTGAATCTCTAAAGGCTGAAGGCGAAGTCATTTTGGAGGATATATCGGCAAATACCAGTTCGACAAAGGCTTCTTTGGCAGTTGTCTCAACAGATCCTGTTACATTGAGTGTTGAAGAGAAGATAAATGTGATGCTCAAGAGAGATGGCGGGTTGAGTAACTTTGAAGTGCAAGGCACACTTTCACTTCAAATACTGAGCAGAGATGACGGTTTCATTCAAGTCCAGGTACTGTCCCTAGAGTCGTGAAATATAAGCATTTTTAATCTGGGAGTGTATACAATTTTTGTTAATCGGAGTGGTTCCCTGTCAAAATGTTCAGATATTTAGGTTTAGTAACAAAAGGGTTAAGATATTTAAATTGGATTTTAGTTAACCTTTTCTTCAAAAAAAAGATATTTAAATTGGATTTTCTATGGGTAACATCCCCCATTTGCCCATAGGCTGTCTTCAAGAGCCTATAACACCCATCGATTTTAAAAAGAATACGCTTTTATTTCTTTGCGAAGCACTATTTTAAGTAGGAGCTAATATATAATTACTTATATAGGTCTCAAAGTAAAAAAAATATAGGGCTTTCAATTTCTTTTGATCTTTCTCTAGAAATATGCAATTTAGTTACATCGGTGGGTTCAAAATAGAAAAGAGAGTATATAAAAGTCCACTTACCTTTTTTACAAGGGGTTTAGAACATGGTTAGCAAGTCGGGAAAAATTACTTACATAGGTGGGTTCAAAGTAAAATAATATGGGGCTTGATTAATGTATTTAATCAAGATTCTTAATTTACTCTCTTTGTTAATATACTTATCTTTAAACTAATATTACATTAATGAAGAAATAAAGTTTTAGGGAAGAAGCTCTTTTGAAAAAAGAGAAAATACAGATTTATATTGGTTCCATTAAAAAAATGCAATTTTTTGAAGATCTTTTGAAAAATTTGGAGTTCTTAACGGATTTCAAAAAATCGGAGATTTTTTGAAAAAACTGCATTTTAAATGGAGACTTGCTAACTGGTTCAGAATTATCCTTGTCTGTTAGATTTGGAATCGTTTGGCTGGGTTGTGCCATTGATTGGACACAAAAGTCTCAAAAATATATTTTATTGGACATTGTGATGTGGATTTACATTTGATGGCTAGGGATTATTATGACCTGCAACCATATGTAAATGGTCTCATAGTGTTTAACCCCAATAAAAAGGGAATTTCAATTTCTCTTGAGGCTCATCCTTGTAACTCTCTCTCTCTCTCTCTCTCTCTCTCTCTCTCTCTCTCTCTCTCTCTCTCTCTCTCTNTCTCTCTCTCTATCTCACTCACTCGCTCTCTACTACGTCTCTGCTCTCTCTCTCTC